TAGGTATCTATCATTGAGAGATGACAGTAGAGTGTAAATTGTTTTTAGAGTTATGCTTCAAACACTACTGTTCAAAAGTTTTTTTGAGATTTTTTTATTCAGCAAGGATGAATTAATTTGACCAAAAGTGACAGTAAAGATATTTGTAATGTTACAAAAGGTTTGTATTTCAAATAGCTGCTGCTCTTTTGAAATTTTTTTTATTAAACAAAGAATCATGAAAGTATATGTCATGATTTCCACAAATATATTAACCAGAACAACTGTTTTAACATTAACAATAAAAATGTTTCTTGAGCAATAAATTAGCATATTAGAATGATTTCTGAAAGATCATCTGACACTAAAGACTGGAGTAAAGGATGCTGAAAATTCAGCTTTGCCATCACAGGAATACGTTGGATTTTTAAAATATAATAAAATAGAAAACAGTTCTTTTAAATTGTAATAATATTTGAAAAATTCTACCGACCTCAAACTTTTGAACATAGTGCAGGTGGACTTAGCCTGTAGTTGTGAACATTCATGAAGTTTAGGATTCCTTAGAATCACATAAAGATGCCTGCTTGCTTAATCATCAGGAAGTTTTTTTTTTTTTTTACATAGCTCAGGGTCCACTTCCTATTCCTTTTTCTTCACAGGGTTATTGGGCCCTCATGAAGAGAATGAGCTCATCCTAATAAACCGTTTAAACTTTGGAGTGTTTTTTTTTCCCCTTCAACCTGCTCTCTCTGCTTCCTGTTGACTATGGGCTTCAACTGTTGACCAAGAGTTTCTCTTTTCCAGGCTTTCGGACAGGTTGTGGGATATATTAATTTGCTTTTAGAAGTATGAAAGAAAAAACGTTCTGAAACCATGCTATGAGTTACCAGAAAGATCAGGCTTTCCCATGGGTTCTTCTTGAATCACCAAACTTCTTGATCTCTTCTAGGTTTACACTGGGGGAAGTTCCTCACTACAATAGGATGAGAGCAAGAGTCTCATCATCTGTCTGCACTGGCAGTGAAACCGTTTATTTGTGTTGGGGAGGTGGGGTGGGTGGAAATTAATAAAGAGTGTTTGTGTCAGTATTTGTGTGAACAGTCCAGTTGGCACTTGGCAGTAAACTGGGGAGGGGACTCTGGTCACTCCGAGGTGGAGAAATATGAGCCTCTGTTGGTCTGCGGTTCTCTTGTTTTCCCTGAAGCTGTGCTCCACTGCTTTTGTTATGAAGCTCACTGGCCCAGGCTCAGGCTTGATCTTCCCTTCCCCCACTATCTCACCCTCTTCACCTCTCTACTTGCCCATAGATTTTAATAGAATCCAAATGCTGGTACCACCAACACAGCCCTTTATAGTCTCAGAAAATCCAAGAACAACATGGGAGGTAAAGTCTGCACATGATAAGTGGCTTTGATCCCACACATGTAGGTGTTAATGTTTGGTCAAACGCTGTACATGAGGGCTGTCACAGGGCCTTTCGCACCGCGGGAACCTTTTCATAGTGCCAGAAATAATTGTGAAACTACCCACTTTTTGGCGTTTTCACACCGCCGGAACTTGGTGCGATTTTAGTACCGGACTGCCTTTTTCGAGAATCAATGTACCATGCAGTGGAAAAGCGCCATTAGTTCTGGAACTAAAGCGGTGCGAAAGGCCCTAATTACAGGTGTGCGTCACAAGCAAAACAACAATGCAAATGTTACTTAAAAATCCCTCAAAAACCTGACTTGATCTGCATTTGGCAAACTGAACTGATTGTATTCTCACTGACATGCCTTTTGACCAGCATGACTATGTGTATGACTTATGGATTATAATGAACGCTCATCCATGACAGAGCCTGAAGCTAATTTAGTTTTTGCCAGTCTAGATTGTGAATAAGGCATTTAAATCATAGGTCCTATCGAACAGACTGGATAACCTCATATTAAATCACCACCATTAACAATGAGGCACCTTGGAGATGTGTGTCTGTCAGTAGTTGCAACATGTACAAATGGGTTGCAAAATCTATTAAAAAATACACTACTGTTCAAAAGTTTGGGATGGTTTTCTTTTTGTATTTAAAGAATGTATATTTTTATTCAGTAAAGATGCATGAAATTGATCAAAAGTAACAGTGAAGTTATAATGTTTCAAAAGATTCATATTTTAAATAATTAATATGAATGCTTATAATGAATGCTTACATGAGCCTCAAGCTAATTTCGTCCTAGCCAGTATATAAGGCATATAAATCATAGGTCCTACTGAATAGACTGGATAGCTTCATATTAAAGGGATAGTTCACCCAAAAATTAAAATTCTGTCATTACTGTCACTCATGTTGTTCCAAACCCGTAAGACCTTCGTTCATCTTTGGAACACAAATGAAGATATTTTTTATTAAATCCGAGAGCTTTCTGACCCTCCATAGACAGCAACGGAACTGACACATTCAAAGCCCAGAAATGTAGTAAGGACATCGATAAAATAGTCCATGTGATATCAGTGGTTCAACTGTAATGTTATGAAGCTACTTTTTTTGTGCGCAAAGAAAACAAAAATAATGACTTTATTCAACAATTTTTTTCTTCGGCGTCAGTCTCCGTCACCATTCATGAGAGTATTACGACACATGCGTGTCACTGCTGACGTAGAACACCATGTGCTGCAGCTTGTTTTCAAACAGAGAAATGCACTCGCATGTGTCATGGTACTCTCATGAATAGCGGCGGAGACTGACGCAGATGTCCTTACTACATTTCTGGGCTTTGAATGTGTCAGTTCCGTTGCTGTCTATGGAGGGTCAGAAAACTCTCAGATTTCATCAAAAATATCTTAATTTGTGTTCCGAAGATGAACGAAGGCCTTACGGGTTTGGAATGACATGAGGGAGATAGGGCTGGGACAATAAATCGATGCATCGCGAATCGAGAAATGATTCTGCATCGATTCTTAGATTTTCCGAAGGCATCGCTATTGTCTCTTGAATCGATTCTGAGCTTAGTTTTTAACAGCAGATGGCACTGCGTGCTTTAGAAATAGCCGTATTCTGCTTGCTTCCAGTTCCTTATGCACCACTTGAACCTAAAATAATCATTCAAAAAGTTCAAAAAGGTTGAAGCGAATTACAAGGATGTTCACAGTGGGCTGTGTTTACGTTAATCTCGCATCATAAAAGCCGATGTGCAAGTAGATTTAACCACTTACATTGCTCAGCCGAACACGCAAGCGCTCTTCTTCGTGAGCATTTGAGTGTGCGGTTAAAAACTAACCTAGAGCACCATCTGCTGTTAAAAACTAAGCTCAGAATCGATTTGAGAGAGAATCACGATGCATTCCGAAAATCTCAGAATCGATCCACGAATCGCGATGCATTGACTTATTGTCCCAGCCCTAGAAGAAAAGTAATTAATGACAGAATTTTCATTTTGGGTGAACTATTCCTTTAAATCACCATCATTAAAAATGGGGCACCTAGACACTAGTTACCATGAATTCGGTTGACTAATGTTTAAGTAGAAATTAAACGATGACGCTGTGATTTTACCTGGGAGATGCGTGTCTGTCAGTAGTTGCAACATGTAGAAATGGGTTGCAAAATCTATAAAAAAAATACACTACTGTTCAGAAGTTTGGGGTGTTGTTTTTCTTAAGAATGTATACATTTATTCAGTAAAGATGCATGAAATTGATAAAGTGATAGTGAAGTTATAATGTTTCAAAAGATTTGTATTTTAAATAAATGCTTCCCTTTGAATTTTCTATTTATCAAACAATCCTATTTATTAAAGTAAAATGTTTTATTGTTTCCACAAGAAAAAAGAAAAAAAATCAGCACAACCGTTTTAACATTGATAATACTGTGAAGTGTTTCTTAAGCACCAAATCAGCATATAAGAATGATTTCTGAATGATCGTGTGACACTGAAGACTGGAGTAATGGCTACTGAAAATTCAGGTTTTCCATCAGGGGAATAGATTGCTTTTTAAAATATATTAAAATATAAAACAGTTCTTTTAAATTGCAATTATTTCACAATATCACGGTCTTGCTGTATTTTAATTAATATAAATGCAGCCTTGGTGAGCATAAGAGACTTCTTTCAAAAACATTTTTAAAAATCTTACCGACCCCAAACCTTTGAATGGTGTTATGTTGTTACTATTTATTGCTAGTTTTACAAAAAAAAAAATAACCCTCAACTATTTACTCTATTTTACTGTACTATTTACTCAACCATAGTGTAAGAGGGCGACTGAGACGAGAGACGTGCGGATCCATCTGCAAAGCTTTATTCTTAAACATATTCAAAACAGGCAAGGGTCGGACAATGGCAAACAGGTATTTAGAGGGCAAGACAGAAGAGTGATCCAATAAACAGGTGTAGGTCGATCAACGGCGAACATAATCCAAAGGATGAGGCAGGCAAGTAATCCACAGATGGATATATTAATCCAGGCGAGGTGCGAACAGAATCCAAACAACAAGACGAGAGAAATCCAAGACAGGCAGGTTATCAGCCAGGAACAGACAATCAGGCAAAACTAGACGTTACGAAACAGGACTAGAACTAGGAACTAGACTAAACTCAGACAGGATACTGGCTCTGTAAAGTGCTACCGCTAGGAGAGTGATAAACGCAGACAATACTTGGCGATTAGAGAAAGATTTGAGTGGTTGTTATATAGTGTGTGTGTGTGCGATTGGCTGCAGGTGAGTCCAATCAGTACAATGGAGCATGGGAAATGTAGTCCAGGGTGATGTGCAACAGTTTGTGTGGTGTGAGAGTCAATGTAATCAGAAGGCGACCTCTGGTGGTGAGCAGACTGAAGACCACGGACCAGATTCGTGACACATAGGTTGTTCCTATGCAATGTGAATAATTTTTTTCCCCCTATGGAATGCCCAAATAGAAAAATGGACCATCATTTTGGGGTTAACTGTTTCCTTTAGCCTATTTAGGTTCTTTCTTAAATATTTGTTTTGTCAATTGCATAAATTAACTCCTGTTTCTTCTATTTTTTTAAAACAGCAAATGGTGATGAGCCTCCGTGTCTCAGAACTTCAGGTTCTTCTGGGGTATGCAGGCCGCAACAAACATGGAAGGAAGCATGAACTCTTGACCAAAGCGCTACATTTGTTGAAAGCCAGCTGCAGCCCTGCTGTGCAGATGAAGATCAAGGAGCTCTATCGCCGCCGCTTCCCCACAAAGATGGTGTCCCCGACAGACCTCTCCCTCCCTGGCCTACACTCCACCACTGGAGGTGCTCCCGCTGGCATGCCCACCAGCCTGACACAGCTGGGATTCGATGGGCATGGCTCACCATCTCTACTCCCTGTCGCACTGCTCGGGCCAAAGCACGAGCTGGGTCTGCCCTCCGCCCTTCACCCAGTCCATCCAGACGTCAAGCTCCAAAGGCTGCCATTCTATGATGTACTCGATGAGCTTATCAAACCCACCAGTTTAGGTGAGTAACAGGAATGATCTCTAACAGTTGACTAGTTGATTATTAAGGTTGAATAGTGCTTTTACAGTAATGATTTTAGAAATGCAGCTTGTCAGAGAGTTTATAGCATGGTAAAGCCATTTCCAAGCAGTTTGTCTCTAAAGTCATCTCCTTTAAAGCATCATTCTTCGTCCTGGATGAACATAAGCAGTTTTGTGCCACTCTGTATTGCAGTCTTTCTCATGAGTTGCAATAAAAGTTACCAGGAGGTTTCAAACTTTCTGATGCCAAAGAGTAGGACTGTAAAATTGATGAATCGCGATTAATCGTTTCCAAATAGTTTGTATTTACATAATATATGTGTGTATATTTAATATCGATTTTAATCGATTTTTACAACCCTACCAAAGAGGACCTCCAAAGATGGTGAAACCCTAAAATGTAAAGTTATCTCCATATTTTTGTGTAATAGTGTGAGAGAAATAATTATGGTTACACTTTATTTTAAGGAGAAGTTATTACAGTGTAATTACACAAATAGATATTGAGTAATACTAATTAACTTCATGTATATAGTATATGGTTAAAGGGGTCATATGATGTTGCTAAAAAGAACATTATTTTGTGTATTTGGTGTATTTTGGTTTGAGACTTTAGTCTTTGCAATTTTAGGGATCTTATCTATTCACGAACAGCTTGTAACACTCCAAAGAGAAAGGAAAACTTGAAATCACATCATATGACCCCTTTAAGGTTAGGCTTAGGGTTTTTGGTCTTCTTAGTTACTTGTAATTATGCATAATTTACTGTTATGTCTATAGTAATTACTTGTAATGTGTAGCTACGTCACCTTAAATAATGTGTTATTTAAGTTATTAAATCAACAACCACATTCATTTGTTTAAATAATTCACTTTTATATTTGTCATATATTTGTATTCATGGCAAAATATTAAAATATTTTCTGGAAAATATTTATTTTTATATAGTATTTATTAGGGATGTAATGATTCACTCAACTCACGATTTGATTCGATTCACGATTTTGATTTCACGATTCGATTTTCTCACAATTTTTTTTTAACAAAATGACATTGAAGACATTATACAGTAAATGAAAAGGTGACATTTTATTACAGGGTGTCCACGGGGTCTTAAAAAGTATTAAAAGTTGATAAATCAATTTGGAGAAAATTAAGGCCCTTAAAAAGTATTAAGTCTTAAATGCCATTTTTCAAGGTATTACATTTTGTATCATCTTTTCATTGTGTATTTGTCCGAATAGTGGGGGTTCTGTGTAGTTTATTTATAGACATCATCTGTTACGGCGCTCACTGACTGACTGCACCGCTGCGTGATAGCGCAGGGCTTGTTACTTGATCCTGCTCTCGCTGAATTTCTGACCATTACCGCCCGCTCCCATCCGCTCCCGCTATTTTTGTGGCCGCTCCTGCAAACATTCTAATATTGTATATAATTTTTCGCGCATCAGGGAGCAGCTATCAATAATGTGGGGTATTTAAATCGCTTTTGAATGGGCGCTTGCAGTCGCAGTTCACTTTCGATTTCGCGATTGCGCGCGCGCTCTGTAAAGGGAGCACATCTTACGATATAAAATATTTGTTAATGAGCTCAGGATCTGAGGAGCAAATCCTCCAACATCTTGTCAGTCATCTCTCCTTACTCTCGACGCGTGATCAGTCAAATCTGACTCCTGCAGCTTGTGTTGGATGCAGGGTTGTTTTTTTCCACGGAATTGGGCTGCTTTTAAACTGTTGCCATGGGTTGATTTTTCCCCATGGGTTAAAGGTTTGAAATATTGCATTGATTACATTTGACTGAAATGCTTTTACTTTGAGCGGGGTCAATGTGCATAACAGTGACTGTAAAATATGTATTTTAGGGATGGAAATTACAAATTTCAAATTTT